TGAAGTTGTCAACAAATAAATAAATAACTTAAAATAACGGTTAGCTGTTTAATGTTTCACAAATTTACATGAGTAATCTAAACAGAATTGTTAAGAACAAGGAGCTCTAGCCAGTTTTGCTCAGCGGATAGAACATTGGCTTTAGGGTAAAAGATTCCCAGGTTCTATTCAAGTCAAGAGCACATACCTAGGTTGCAGGCTCCTTCCTCCTCAGTCCAGGCCCTGGTTGGGGCTTGTGCAGGAGGCAACTAATTGTTGTGTTTCTCTCACATCAATGCTTCTCTCTCTCTTTCCCTCACTCTTCCATTCTCTCTAAGAATCAATGGGAAAATATCATTGGGGGAAGATTAATAAAACAAACAAACAAAAAACAAGGAAATTAACTGGATGCAAGTAATATAAAAGTTTATAAATGGACAGGGTTGACACTGTGTCAGGCACTTTAATTTTTTTTTTTACATTTTTTTAATTATTTGCTTATTTGGTTTGGTTCCTGGGGGGCCCTGGCTAAGGAGTATCCTTAAGTCTCTTGGCATTCTCCCCCTAATAGTTACTGTAGTCTCCCTAGTATGCTGTATTCTTTCAGAGGTCTCAAGTGCATTTTTTGCAACCATCAGCAGTACATCAGGTGGTCTCACTGCATTTGGAGTAACAGAAATAACTTTAACAATGAGTTGAACAGCAAGAACAATTTTTCCACAGATTTGACATCATACCCTACGCATTTCCCAATGAGACAAGAACACTTTCACTCTAATGGTGGCTGAGAGTGGCACTAATACCAAAATTTTGGACCATCTCATATGTAGGAGAGGATGACCAAAAAAGGGGGGAAGGTTATTAAATTACTTAAACAAAGAGGCCATTAAACTGATGTGGCTCTAACAGCATGGTGATCTACCAAAATCTTAAAGTTTTGATTTTTGCAAACCCAAATTTAGGTCTGTAGGTATTTCATGGTTAGAAAATCAAAATGCTAAGAGTAACCCATCACAAACAACCAACTAGGCTTTAAATTACAGCCAATCGGTAATTTCCTTACTTTTTCTCCATAAAAGTCTCTCTCTCAGCTCCTGCTGACAGAGCACTCCTAACCACCTCTGGTTTGGTGCTGCCCAATTGGAATTTATTTTTGTTCAAACTCTTAAAATGGAAAAAGAAAAATCTCCTTAAGAGAAATTATTGGGTTGAAAGAGATAAGTTTTTTTCATTTATTCTTTTCTTGATTATCAAAGTAAGATAAGCTTATCCTAGACAATTAAAAATATAATAAACTGAGAAGAAAAAATTCAGTATCTTTTGTAACTGGACAACCAAGAGGTCCGGGCTGCCTGTCACCACTTCAGCCAATTAAGGAGAGAAAGGATTGAATCCTATATGAGCGTTTATTTCAGTAATGCTGTCAGTGTGGGAGAGCAGCAGGTCATCCATAATAATCTGCTCTGCTTCTCCCTTTAAGCCAGCTGCTTATATTGGGTAGAAGGGCAAAGATTATATGGGAAAGTAGGAATTACAGGCATGGGGAAGCAGGGACAGGATAAGCATTGCAGGTTACAAGTTATGTGGGCTGGCAGGGGTCAGAGAGCAGCTCTTCTGGGCACCCTGGGACCAAATTACAAGCAATAGAGGCTGGGGGTTGTAAAGAGAAGGTGCCTCCGGGACTAGGGACTAGATTGTTTCAGCCACGAGGTTGTAGATCTCTCTATAACATTATGCAGTTCTCGGGTCAGGAGGCTGGGCTGCATTCCGACATTGGCTTCCATGTCCCAGGGCGTACAACTCCTAGCCAGGTTAGAATGTGCTTTCTCTAAGGAGAACAGACCCATCACAGTTATTAACAAAGCATGATTGATATTTCTTATAATTGTAACTAGTCCCCAATGTTCTCTTTCTTCCCCTAACACTTTCACCCGTTTTAATCAATGTCAATGTTTTGACATTATTTCTTCCGATTTATGCAGGTTCAAGGAATAAACATTTTTAAGGCTTTTCATCGTACTACCAGAAATGCTTTCAATTTACCAATTATGTCCTCCTTTTGGAACTATTCTGAAAACACTAACATCTAAAAACTATCAAGAAGTATGATTCTTTCAGAACCTTTCGTGATTTTGGTCTGGCTCACTCAGAGTCTGTTGTGAACATAAAACTGTAGAACAAGGCCTAAAAACACTTTAGAAATAGTTTTGGCTCAGTGAATAGAGCGTTGGCCTGTGGACTCAAGGATCCCAGGTTTGATTCCAGTCAAGGGCATGTATTTTGGTTTCGGACACATCCCCATTAGGGCGTGTGCAGGAGAAAGCTGATCTATGTTTTTTTCTCATTGATGTTTCTAACTCTCCCTCTCCCTTCCTCTTTGTAAAAAAATCAATAAAATATATTTAAAAACAAACAAACAACTATAGAACAAATGTTACTTGGAAATCTCATTTCCAGTGTTTGCTTTCTTCAGATAATTAGATGATTCTTTTTTTATAGTCAGGAACCCGTTTAATTCAATTGTGTCGATATTTCTAAGTTAATTTTAACATAACAATTTTCAAGGTGGCAGGAGCATGATTGTGCGAATGCATCAGTGCACAGGCTCTGGTTGAAGTCTACTCTTCTGAAAGGCTACCTTTGTTAATGGTTTTCATTTCTTGGGCAATTGAAAATGCCTGTTTGACAGGTAGCTGTGAATGGAAGTCAGCTCACTGATCCTTCCAGACGAAGATAGATTATTGGTCATTTATTCATACCAGTTCCTGGGATGAATAGAAGAAAATATTCTCTTTTTTAGGGCTTCCCAATCTTTTTCATGGCATGGCATACATAGAAAATAATGATATTTGTTCTCTACACTGGAATAATCACGTAAAGCTGATGCAATCACAGGTGACTGACTGCCGGGGAGCCTTGGGGCCCACTTGGTTGTCCTAAGCGCTGAGGGATACAGGTTCCAGTCTCCTGTAAAGCATTCTTGGTACATCAGGGCTGGCCTTGCTTCTGATGTTATGAAGAGCATATCTTTGTGTTTTTAGTTTTTTTAAGAGATGCTGCTTCTGTGTGTGTGTGTGTGTGTGTGTGTGTGTGTGTGTATTTAACCCATTTCTTGTATTGATTGTACCGGGGTTTTATCATAGTGAAACCCCTCCTATTTAGTAGAAATATAGATCTTTTTCCTGACAACTTTCTGATCTTACCTCTTCACTATTGTCCACAAATTATGTGTAACTCCTCTTCCAAAAGTTTTATTTTATTTCGCTCGCCTAGAAGTCATCCATTCAATTCTTACCTGATTTCTACTATGTATCAGGTGCTTTGATAAACACTGGGGATAGAGAAATGGTAAAGACAGCTTCTGACTCTACGCAGCTCTCAGCCTAGTGGGTCGCGGGTAGGGGGAGGGAACCACAAAGGATGGTAAAGAAAACAACAAGCACTGGATGGTGGTAGAGTCAGCTCCCTGAGGCAGGGAGGCAGGCTTCCCAGAAGTGGTGACATTTAGGTTGTGACTTCAAGGGGAAGTTTGACATACCAGTGAGAAGTCAGTACTGTATAAAAGACAGAAACTGGTGGTTTTGAGAAACAGATGAGCTTGTCCGTGTGCCCGGAACTCCAATTCCAGGCACTTGGAAGAGTGAAGAGGACCAGGCTGGAAAGGAAGGTAGGGTTTAGGTTTTGAGGAACCTTGCCCACTGAAAGGAGGGGTTAGGACTTGTTATGCAGGAGACTGACATTCACAGAGTTGTGTTTTGGAACCTGCTCTTGCCTCAGGGTGGAGAGTGGACCTGCAGATGTGTAGGAAAGTCATTAGGAGGCTGCAACTTTGGAAACAAAAGCCGTGGAGACTTGACGTAGGCCTAAGGTACTGGGCTACTCATGAAAGGAGTGGTGATAGAATTCCTAGGAGTGGCCACAGGAGTTTGAGAAGTCAGTTTGAACACTACAGTAAATGATATCATTAGCAAAACCATCCCAGCTCTTCAACCCATTCTTTCAGACCCAACCCAAGGGCCCTTTCCTTTATAATACTTCTTCTTCCATCCTTTTCCCCTCAGGGGCCACTTTCTTCCCAGAATAGCTATGCTGGGAGTCAGCAGTGAGCTGCTTGCTCCTTTCCCTAAGCAGGAGGCTATTTTATATGTGTTAGGTCTGTTTCCTAAACCAGATTGCAGGAAACCATGTTTCATGCTTCTCTAATAGTCATTCCAATGATAGTCTCACAATGTTGGGCATTTACCAGGTGTTGTCTGCAGTAGGCAGGGGTGCCTAGCGCTATGCTTGCAAAGAAAAATTTTATTTTGTCTTAAGAAAAGAAAAACTTGATTGAAGTATAATCAATGTGCAATAAACTGCCTATATAAAATAAACATAAAGTGGAACTTATCTGGTTAACACAGAGGCAGGAGGCCCAGAGTCCAGAACCCGTGGCTCCCTCTTGTCTAAGATTCCATGAGACACAACTGGAAAACCTTTGACTTGGTGTTTTGGAGTCAGCTAGAACTGAGTTCAAATCCCTGCCCTTTACTTGCTTAGCTGTCATCCAGCAGATAAATGGGGAAACTGCTCTGAGCCCCACTTTCCCCTCTGTAAATAAGGGACAGTAATACATATACTGTAGAGTTATTGTGAGGGCGAAGTAAGCTAATGTATGTAAAAATCTCTGGCACTTATTAAATGCTTATTAGGTCATGGCTGTTGTTAAGAATAACAAGACATTTGCTAACTCATTGAGTTATTGATCCTTATTGAACTTGCACTTGTTCAGTCTCAATAAACTTACTCAGGTTAGGAAAAGCCAGGGTTGGAGTGAATTTCTGGGCGAGTTTGGGATTCAGAAGGGACCCAATCTTGTCTTATGCTCCCTTCACTCCATCAACCCGCAATCGCCTGCCTTTGCATGGGGGTCTATCAATATTTAATGTGTGGGTGTCCGTTGCTGTAAACTGAGTATATCCCAGCAGCGACTTGAATTAATTATGTGCAGGAGGAGAGAAAATAAAGTGCCTTTTTCTCAGAGCTCCGAGTTCCACTGGCTGCACTGAGGCCTGGAAACCACAGAGGGACGTGTCCGCTGATGGAGGACTCTGAGAAGAAGCTGAACCAGAAGAGCGACGGCAAGCCCCGGAAGGTCCGATTCAAAATCTCTTCCTCCTACAGCGGCCGAGTGCTGAAGCAGGTCTTCGAAGATGGGCAGGAATTAGAATCGCCAAAGGAGGAATACCCTCACAGTTTTCTCCAAGAGTCCCTGGAACCCATGGATGGTGTTTACGGGTCTGGGGAAGCCCCCAAGCCCCGGTCCTACTCCCCTAAGCTGACTGCTCAAAGGATCAGTGTGTTCAGAGAGGGCAATGCCTACACGTTGGCGGGCAGCCAGCCTTTCTTCAACGATTTCAAGGCAAATGACCATAAGGTGGGTATTGTGTGTGGGGTATAAGCGTTAAGGACTAAAGTGAGTTTAGAGAAGCACCTGAACGTTTCAAATTTGTATTATACTAGCCAGGGCTATAGGGAAGTCCCTCTTAGGATAATATTTCTGGGAAAACAATAGCAAGCTTGTGGATTAGTCATTGGAAATTGTAACAAGCACGATAGTATTCAAATTCCATCCAGGGTAAGAAAAAAGAATTGCACGGGGTCTTTGGCTGGGTTACCCCAGTAAGGAAATTACATAGAGGTGCTGTGGTTTTCAGGTTGCCCGACCGCTGTTTTAGAAAATGATGCAGCAACTGGTCGTCTTGTTTCCTGGAAGAGCTAAGTGTTTGGAGGTGTTCATTTTACTCCAGGCAGTTATTCAGCATGTGGTTTCTCCATTACTTGTTTTTTTTATCCCCATCTCCCTCGTGCTGCCTGCTTTCAAACAATGTCTGTCTGTCTGTTAGTTTATGTATGTTGCCCTTTCATTGCTCATTAGCATGAACACTGGGTAGGTGGAGTCCTGGGAAGAGATGGTGAAGAGCAAATCAACCAGAGGAGATGTTACACAGGGGAAGAAGTGTGAGCTAATAGTTCATTTGAAACATGTATTTTATTTGTGAATGTCAGTGGTCTTCTCCAGTAGCATGGATAATTAAAAGCCCAGGCATGGTTTTCTTTTTAAGTTAGACGAGCCTGGAAAGGTAGTCACTGATTTCCAGAATCTCACAGGAGATGTGGATATGCTCTCTGCCACTGGGACTATGAATGTGTTTCTTAAAAAAGAGCAAATACAGGTTATTAAGGAATAGCGTTTATGAGTAGGATTTATACTCCTCTTTAAAGTGTGAATTTCAGATAATTACTCTCTAATCATTTTTATTAGTTTCCTAAGGGAACAAACACTACATCTATAGCAGACAAATGTATTGGCCTTGCTAGCACTGATAAGAGTGTAATTATGGGCATGTCCACATTTATCAAAGAGAGTACTGGTTTCTTTTTGGTCTGAAACGGGGCTGGAAGGAACAGCCCCTCGTGTTTCTGGAGTGGCTTCTGCATCACAGAGCACTATCACGTACTATTGCATTAGGTCTTCATGACAATCTTGAGGAGGAAGGCCAAGTGTGACCACTCCCATTTTGCAGATGAGGAACACCGAGTGCCACATTGTTAAGGGACTCAGCCCATATGGTCACAGGTGCAGAGTCAGAGTAAGAACCCAGGTCTTCTGATTCCCCATACTCTTTTCCCTATGGAATATCCCTTTTTAGCAAAGAAAATCACTACTAATAATGTCGATGATAATAATATTGGTACCATTTACTGAATGCTTGTTATGTCCTAGGTTCATAGCTGTCTTGTACTTATAGTACCTCATTTTACCTAAATCTTATATATAGGTTTAGAATTTACAAATCTGTAGTTTATTCAGTACCTTATACAAGGCCATAGTAGATAGTACTGAACTGTTGACCTTCTTAAGTCAGAATACCAAACTTTTCATTCATATAAATTCATGTATGATTAGACATAGGTTTATAAAGCCATACACAGCACGGTAGATTTAAACACCAGATTCTAGAGGCCATGTTCAGGGTTAGATTCGTGTCTGGTTTAGTTATCCTTGTTTTCTATGTTGCCTGATCACATGCCACATCCCATTCTAGCCAGCCTTTCCATGTAAGAGGGATTAGGATGGATTTATGCACCTGCACCCACTGAACAGGTTGTCAATGTGGTGTTTATGAAAAGTAAGGAAAACGAGAGCTGGGAAGTCATGAATTTTCAATAGTGAACCCAATTGTAAAATAACTCCTAGTAAATACTGGCTGTGAGGCAACATTAGGTAGTAGTTAAACACAGTAATTAAAAACAGAGGCTTTGAACTTGAACAGATATCTGTATACCCAGGTTTATAGCAGCTTTTTCCACAACTGCCCAAAGGTGAAAACAACCCAGATGTCCATCAATAGGTGAATGGACAGTCAAAATGTTGTATATACGCACACAATGGAATATTATTAAATCTTTAAAAAGGAAGGAAATTCTGACACGTGCTACAACATGGACGGAATTGGAAGACATTATGCTAAGTGAAATAAGTCACAAAAGGACAATCATATGATTCCACTTATATGAGTAGTCAGATTTATAGAGATAGAAAGGATAGTGGTGGTTGTCAGAGGTTGGGGGGGGGTGGGGAGGGCAGAGAGAGAAGGAGGAGTTATTGTTTAACGGGTACAGAGTTTCAGTTTGGGACGAAGGAGAAGTTCTGGAGATTGATGATGGTGATAATTAACACCACAGTGTGAAAGTACTTAAAGCCACTGAACTGTTCACTTAGAAATGGTGAAAATGGGTAAATTTTATGTTATGTTTATTTACCACATCAAAAATAACGTGTGTGTGTGTGCATGTTTAAATAAACAAGGGCTCTGATTTCGGTTAACTTGGGCATAATGTCCATTCTACCCACTTACCTGTGTGAGCTTGGGCAAAGCCACTTAAACTAGCTGAGCTTCAACGTCATAATCTATGATATGGGGGTAATAAAAGTACTTGCTTCCTGCTTCCAAAGAGTGTTGTGATTAAAGAGAGATAACAGATAAGAAGCCCTTGGCATTGTGCCTGGCACATTATATATGCTCTGTAAATGTTACCTACCACTGCTATAATGACCAGGTTCTTATGAAACAAACATTGAGACTTTTAAAAATTTTATGTGGTAGATAGAGAAAGTGGTTATAAACAATAAAATATTTTAAGGAATTAAAACTGGCCAAAGCTTATAAGGTCCATAAAAAATGGAAGGGGAAAGAAGAGAAGTAACATCCCCTGAACACCCACTTTGTACAGAATACATAAATTCAGCCTTACCACAATTCTATGAGGAAGAATTTGACAAATTGGGAAAAAAAAGAAGAGAAGTTCATAGGGGCTCAATAAGTGGTACATCTCACACAGCTGTCTAATAACATTTGAATACAATTTAAACTCAGGTCTGCCTGCCCCCAGAGCCCATTGCCCTTTTCCTACCTGGTGATGTGTTTAAACTCAGAGCAGCGGTGAGGTGTCATGGTGACTGAATAGCAGCCTCAGACACTGCCATTGATATCGGGATATTTATGAGGCTCAATCACATAGATTACCATTCTGGGCACTGTGGAAGGAAACATAAAATTCCTGGCTCCATCCCGGCCTCCTATAATGTACGAGCAGGTGTTCCTCACAGGCCATCGGATGCAACCAGATCATGTGAAGTTTAGTTACACCCGGAGCCGTTCCTTAGACACCAGGAAGAGCTTGGCTGTCAGGGTGCCTGAAACTTAAACACACCTTTAGGGTACTTGGGACCGTCCACCTTTGGAATACATTAAACATAAATGGACTGTCCTGGCTGTCTCAGATACTGATTAGCTGAGAGGCAGGCGGTGGGTCGAACCAGAGGGCTGCAGAGTTTTTTCAGTATATTGAGAGTTTTGCCTGGAAAAAAAGAAACCAACCGTAGATGCGAAGAAAGCTCCCTCGTAACCGAGCCTCTGGGGCTATTACTGGAAGTGGAAATGGAACCTTCCAAAAGTGCCACCATCTTTATCTGCTGATGCTCAGAAGCTGATAGTCCAGAGTGCGAAACAGGAACCCCCCACGCACCAAGCGGTAGGAAATGGAAGCTGCCACACGATCCCTAGAAGAGAGGGAGGGAAACCAGGCCAGGTAGGAAGCTTGTGGCTTCATGAATAATTATTGAGAGCCCCATGGATGTTTCAAGGAAGGGGACCTGAATATTGGACCACGGCCCAAGCCAGATTGAGAGTGCTTCAGTGGAGCATCTAACAGACTGGGTGATGCAGATCTGCAAAGGCAGGACAGAACATTTCCCACCGAAGCATGCGGTTGTGTAGCATGATGGCACATGCGCTAATGACCAAAGGAACAGTTCTTAATAACAACAGCAGTAGTAGTGCCTACCCTCTGCATGGTATCTTTAGCGTTTGCAATCCCTGTTTTATATCTTCTTTATAGGACCGCCATCCCTGGAAGAGGACATAATTAGCCTCAGGGAAGAGTGTACAAATATTTAATTGCTTAATAGACCCAGAAGCCAGTGAAGAGTTGAGGGCATGGTCCTAAGTCAACTTTTATATGACTGGCTAGAGAGAGGCTGGTGTAGCAGGAGAGCGCTTAGGAGTCTCAGGACAGCACCTGCTTACCAGCCAGTGTAGAAGCATGTCTGTGTTTTAATAATGAATTGGTCTCTGGTGGTTAGTGCATGCCAACGAGATGGCAGCCCATTTACAGATGGGCACACCGAGGCGCTGGGAAGCCAAATGACTCTCCTTTATCTCACAGTTGGTGAACAGTGGGATTGAGATCCAGTGTTTCCCTGCAAGCTGTCCTAGATCTGGGAAGAAATGTGTGTTCTTAGCTGAGTAACCCCTAAACATTTACTCCCCTGCTTCTCTACTGCCCAGATGATTCCTTAGCAGATGGTTAAGGCACACGAGAAATCTAGCAAGGGAGCAGGAGCTATTGAAAATGATGCCGTTGAAGTATATTTATTGACATAAAAAGATTTTTCATAGAAAAAGAACAGAAACAAGTTACAAGAGAATATATATATATATATATATATATATATATATATATAATATGTTAATATATAAAAATATAATGATCTTGGGAAAGTGATTGTGAATGGTGTAGTGTAGGTGCTAAGAATTTGGATTTAGAGCGAGACAGAGTTGGATTTGAATTCCAGCCAAGACCCTGAGTAACTTTGTGACCTTGAGACACACTTAACCCCCCTGAGGCTTGGTCCCTTAATCTGCAGAATGTGGAAACCATAGATCTACCTCATAGGGATGTTCAGGGGAGAAATGAGGTAATGTCTGTAAAATGCTTAGCACAATGTCTGACATCATAATAACAACAGTAAATGCTCAATAAATTGTATATGCTATTATTACTTATGCAAAGAAACAAGTTTGAGTGACATTAAAAAAAAAAAAAAAAAGCATTCCTTTGTGTTTTTAAAGCCCTCATTATGCCTGGCCCTACATCAGCTGCTCTGGTATGTGGTTGGAATAGGCACTTTGGACCCTAACCCTGCAGAGTCCAACACTCTAGATTTATGACTAGTGTAGCTTTGGTTGGCTACCATCAACAGGAAGAAGGAAGATGGTTGCCATGGTTTACAGAGAAAGCAAACAAACTAGGGAATGAACTGGAGATTTGTGGTCTGATGGGGTCACAAGTGCAGAAGAGCAGAAGTTCCTCTTGTCCTATTTCCTGGGACAGCGAGCAGGTTCTGCAGCCCTGTATTTATTTGGTGACTGTTGGTGGAGGTTCCATGCTCATTCTCCATTTCTCTAGTCCCCACCTATTATAGATTTTGGAAAGATAATCATCTACACGAATAACCTGAAAATCATTCGAACCCCAATGGACAAGAGAGATTTCATGAGGAAAATTCTCCAGAAGGAAGAGGAGATTGAAGAAGAGGCTCTGATGACCAAAGAGGAAATCTATGGAGATAGCGACCAGAACAACGGGCCTTTGGCGGAGACAGAAAACACGTTCCCCCACAACCAGTACCCCCAGGTGCGTCAGCAGGTCACTGTCCCCCCGGGAGGGCCCTACTGCAGTGGTCTCCAAATGGTCTTGGTTGTGCACTGCTTCAGTAAAACTTTCAAATATGACTACATACGATGTCTAAATACTTAAGATGTTATGGATTTTATTGCATTTTAATGGTACATTGTTAGCGGTAATAGTGGTAAGTCCATATTTCAAACACTCCTCATTTTAATTTTTTGGATGGCTTCTTTTGAGATCTGATTAGGTATCTGTTGTTTTTACTTTGCAATGTGGCTTAGAACATCTTGCTCTAAAAATTAGCTCTGCCCTTTTCTTATGGGTTCTCTTGTGCTTCTATTATTGGGGTCCTCAACCCACAGTTTCCTTGAAGAAACTTAATAAAGCTGCAGTTCCTTAGATTTTGTAGAGATGAGTTTAGTAAAAACTAACAGTATAATTTGTAAACCCACTAGGCCAGGCACAAGTAAACTGCAAAATGTGGAAAGTGAATGAATGAGCCGGAACACCATTGCCTCTTTACATAAAGTGGGGTCCCTTTATATCATGTTTATTCCAGGGTCCCTTGGGTACATTTTTATAGTGACTGCCAGTCTTAGTGAGGGCACCTGTCAACTAGTTTATTAAAAATTAGGATAACAATTTATTTTGAAAATATTATTAAAGCTAACTTCTTGTCACCTTTAGGTAAAAATATAAATAGCTCCCAGCCTTGGAAACCATTGCTCAGACATGCTAAGAAGGGGGTGGAAGACTGACAGTATTCACTAGTTCTTAAGGTGGGGTGAGTTGGGAAAAGCAATTTTGATGAAATTAAGCTAAGAGAGTAAAAGCTTGAGTGGCAGCAGAAGTGAATATATTTCCTCTTTACATCCTATCTCTTGGGACTTGAAGCTTTCTCTGGGGCACACTCTCACCTTCCACTTGTTGGCTTCCTTGCTCCTGAGTGATGTCCCCACCTTGGAGGCTTAGGGGACAGGAACAAGAGGGTCATGACCAGACCAGACTTTATCAAAAGCCTCTTATTAAAAGTTCTGCTCACAACCTCTCGTGTCTCTTTCTAATCTGATCACTCAGTGAGAGATTTTTAAAATACAAATCTGATTGTGTCATCCCTTCATCATCCCCCTTCCCCCACCCCAAACTTTCAATGGCTTCTCTTCACTTGGGATAAAACCCAAGCTCCTCACTTGTTCTAGAAAGTACTGTGTGCCTGGCCACTCTTGGCCTCTTCAGCCTCATCTCTTACCACATCTCTACTCATTCTCTCCATCCCAGAAACACTGCCTATCATGTGTTCTTTGCTTTTTCTTACTAGAGGCAACTTCGCTGGACCTTAGATATTCTCCAGATTCCCTGACACCTTTTCCTCAGCTCCTGATCTGAGTGGAGACATCCCTTCCTCAGAGCGGCCTCCCTGTCATCCATGAGGATAAATTCTCAAGAAGGGACCCCTCAGGGCAGTTCACACTCCTCACAATTGCAGTCTAATACTTATTTGGTTAATGTTTGTTCTCACACATAAGATTTAGTCTCCATGAGGGCAGGGCCTATTTGTATATTGGTGTAACACAATAGTTCCATTGCCTCCCATGATAGAGCCTGGCATATTATAAGTGCTCAATAAATAGTAATTGTTTGTGGAAAGAAGATTGGCATTTGGAACCAAGTGTTCTGCCTCTGCCTTCTCTAGATAACCCTACTCAGAACTTGGCACAGCAGTAGGCAGACAGCCACATGTTGCCATCCAACGCATTCCCTCCCTACTGTAACACCCATTCTATTCTTTTTCACACCATATTTCCACTTGTAGGGGCATATATATTCAGAAGAGAGCCAGAAAAGCTAGCATATAGGTCCCACTGCAGCCCTGAATGCAAAAGTAACAACAGGCTCGACATGACAATTGCCTTTCAATTCAGTATGGAGAGAGCCACGTTTCTTAGCTGGAATGCCATAAACGAGCACAGAGGTATGCAGCACAAAACTGCTGTGAAAGGTTATACTTCACTTGGCCTGTCCTTAAAACTGTGTTTTAAATGGCTATTTGTTTGCTCAATCCCTCATGCAGTAAATGCCCAGACAAGATTATTCTAAAAAAGGGTCAAAGAACACCAAAGAGCCCCTCCCAACCAAGGGAAGCAGTGGGGACATTGATGAAAGGGCAGGGAAAGGCTAATGCCAGGCCACGCTGCACCTCTGTAATAACTCTAAGAGTAAGGAGAGGGATAATTGAATTGAGCCACTGTGAAACATGGAAGGAAGGAAACCTGGCCCTGAGTTCAGTGGATTTGAAACCACAGATCATCTAGGCTCTTTTATGCTTCATCTGGGCTTGCCTTTGAAATAATAATAATAAGAAACAAATAATAGTAATAATAGCTACAGTTTATTGAGGGCCCATGATAGCCTGGCACCATGCCCAATGCTTTCCATGCCAGAGTCCATGTCATGCTCACGAAGACTCTGTGAGGTAGATATTTTTGGTGATCACCTTTTGAAACTGGGGAAGCTAGGCTCAGAGAAGTTAAGTAACTTACCAGAAGTCATCAGAGTCAGTAGTCAAACCCAGGTCCACCTGACTGCCAATCTCATGATCATAACCACTTAGCTAAGCAGCCTCCGGATTGGCGTTGGTTACCCTCTTCAGAGCTAACAAGCTTTGAGCCTGCAGTGAAAGCCCAGGCCCCTTTCCTTGGTCATCGAGCTGGTGGGAGGTGGTTTGAGAGGTTTGTTGGTTTCATAACCTGCACTATGCTGTACAACCATGTTCTAAGTCCTCTTACTGTTTTCTGAGAAGAATTTTAAAAAATAATGAGACAAGAGTAGAGACTTGATTTATTGAATCATTAAATAATTAAATGAATATGTTGAGGTGAGTAGTTGGAAAGGGAGCTAATTCGAGTTAAGGATAGAAACTCCAGTGCTCAGCTGGTGTGGTTCAGTAGTTGAGTGTTGACCTATGAACCTGGAGGTCATGGTTCAATTCTCTGTCTGGGCACATGCACAGTTTACAGGCTCAATCCCCAGTGTGGGTATGGAGGAGGCACCTAATCCATGACTCTCGCATCAATATTTTTCTCTCTCTCTACCTCTCCTTCCTCTCTGAATTTTTTTTTTTTTTTTTTTTTTTTTTTTTTTTTTTTTAATAAAGAAACTCAATATACAATCAGGTAAAATTTGATTGATAGTTTGGTTTTGTTCCCTACAGTGAGCTCACCAGGCCATTTTGTTAATCTTTCACTATTTGGCCTGGCATTCTAATATGTTAGGATTTTACTGTACTTTGACAACATTGACTTGTACCATTAAACTCTCTCTGGGATCAAGTCTAAAACATTAAAATGAGTGGATTTGGCAGAAAAATGGACTGTGGCAATTTGCTTTAAGAACATTTTGGCAAATAAATTTATTTTGAATACTTTAAGGGAAGGAAACACATTTCTGCATTGTTAATATCAGTATGGCAAGAATCAATAAAATATTAACAAAAGGGTGCACAGACATGATTTAGGTTTTCTTCAGTTGGAAAACACTCCCATTCTCTTAACTCTAGAATGAGTAAAGTATAATACCTCCTTGGGCACTGTGCAGCACAACGGAGCTATTTGCAGAACTAATGCCTCCCTTTTCAGAGATTATTTTTATTATTAGGTTATAAAATAAAGCCGTTAGCCGGGTGGAGCCACCCACTGGACTCCAGCTGTGTTGGAAGTGCCTAGAATTAAGAAAGGGAAGGATTCTCTAGACAACTTTGTTTTGCTTGTTCATTTGGCAAATATCTGAACAGTTGATATTTTCCTGGCTCCACACTAGATGTGCAGGAAGTGATGGTGAAAGGGACCACACAGCGAGCTTCCTGTCTAGTCCCCAGGAGCTCTCAGTACAGTGAGAGACCTGCCGTGCTTGGGGCAGGACTCCTGTCCAGAGGTTGGGTGGACAAGACTTACTGACACCTGAGAACATGGGTAGTGGCTGGGTTTGGTAGGGGCACAGGTTCCTGGAGACCAGCTGGAGAGAGACTTAAGGACAGGAGCGTGTTGAAAAACATAACTAAGCATTTAAATCCTCTGAGGAATTTGGTTTTAATCTGAAGTTTATCTGGGAGGCAAGTGTTCATTAAAAGGTTTCTTGAGTGCTCTGTGGCAGTCACAATGGCAGGCAACTTAGTAAAATTGGCATTAGTGGGGAGAATGGCCACCAGACTGGAGGCAGGCATCCACACTGAATTCCTGCTGGAGCTGGTAGAGGTGGGACTAGGGTTGTGACTGTGGGGTGGAAAAAATTGAATGGATTTGAAGGTAAATGAACAGGATTTGGTGCCAAATCCACCTGTATAGATTTGGTATTGTCCCTTGTTTCTTGGAAGGTTATGGTCTATGTATGATCTTTGCACAGAGTCCAAAGATTGCCAATTTTCTTGAGATGTTTTAGGAGAATAACACAATGGTAGACAAAGGGCCTTTTTCTGTAGGGTGGGAGTGGAGGACTGGAGACTTATTAGCAAGGCTTAGAAGTGAACAAACTCTCATGGAAAACCCATTAATATGCCACATAATATGGTATATTTCTTGTACTCTCTCAGGTGATATTCTAGCTACCATACTCAGAGAGATAAGCATTATCACTCCCATTCCACAGGGAAAGAAATGGAGATTTAGAGATTAAGAGAACTATGCAAAGTGCATTCTTGATGTTAGAGGCAGGCCTCAGTCCCAGGCTTCTGACTCCAGAGCAGAGCTCTGAATCCTGGGCCTTATGACAGTTCTCAAAGAGAATTAGGAGAAAGTATCACAAGAAATCAGAGCTAAGCTTCCAAGGATTGTGCCATCACTTCATTCATTCGCTTAGTCTCACAAAACCTTCTGTCTTGAGCATCTACTTCAGACAACTACAATGAGGGGCCCTGTAGTAGTTAATAGGAGCATAAACTCTGGTGCTCAGCTGTCTCAGATCAAAAACAGCCTCTTCTTCTTCTTCAAGATGCATGACAGTCGGTGAATAACTGAATTTCTGTGTCTCATTTTCCTACCTGTAGCATGGGGATGGTAACCCTTACACTGTCTCAGGGGATTGTTGGGGCATTAGATGGATTGGTATATGAACAGATGCTCTTAGAACAGCGCCTGGCACTTACCAGTCATGCTCCAAATGCGCACTCTTAGTATTTGGCAATGAGGAAGCCCGCATCTTTGCTCTCATGGAACATGCAGAAATTGCATGTCAGATAATAGTGATGAGGGCGATGAAAAGCGTCAAGTCTTGGGACGTGAGGCGTGGTGGCAGGGGATGCTGCCCGAGAGATGTCCACCAGGGGAACCCTCTCTGATAAACTTGCTGTGATTATTCCGTGCCTCTGACCAGTCCCCTCATCCCGTCTGTGGGAAGCATTTTCCTCTTGTTCTGTGCCAGCCTCTGCCCAGCCCAGCAGTGTTTTCACCTGCATGTGATCAATCAACTCGAACTGCTGCTGTTACTAAACCCTGACCATCTCTTGCAGGAAGGGGAGCTACCAGATGACAACTGCTTTCACTGCCGAGGCTCGGGCAGTGCCACCTGTTCTCTGTGCCACGGCAGCAAGTTCTCCATGCTGGCCAACAGATTTAAGGAGTCCTACCGGGCCCTGCGATGCCCTGCCTGCAACGAGAACGGCCTGCAGCCCTGCCAGATTTGCAATCAATAGCCCACGGCTTTGAATGTTGGCTTTTATCGCACCCTCTCTAACGCTGTTTCTAATAAATTGCCCCCACCCTCCATCTCCCAGCACAGAAGCCGCAGTGGCTGCGCTCGCTTCCACCGCTGGCAAAACACAACAACCCTCCTCCGTTACTTGACGACATTTCACAAGGCTAGTCATATCTCCATGTGGGTCTAAGTGGCAGAGGCATTTTCGAATTACAGTGGGCTTTGAAACTGGTTCTAAAATGATCCTTCCAGGAATGTGTGCGTGCATTTCCATTGCCTGAGCTCAATTTTCTCCTTGCACTAGTGAACCAATGAAGGCCCCTTTCAGGCAGCAGGGTGAAGTCATTTTCTGGCTGGGAGTGATTTTGCAAACTTATGCAGTGAGGAGGGAATGAAAAAGGCAGGTTTCTGATGAGCTGAATTCCTGTTGCTTAGAATGCATCGCAAAGTGTCATTGGTCAAATTGAAATTTTAATTAATCGGAAGGAAGGGATGCCCAATGGCCCCAGTGCACTTAGCAGGCCGCTGAAAACAAAATGGTAGGTCCAGCAGGTCCACGCTTTGTGCTGAAGATAGGCTGGCGGAGGAGGCATTTCTTTCAAAGCCCCCAGTCCCTCCTGTGAGATGGGCGTGGGTGAGCCCCAGGCAGGTGACAGCAGTGCTCCTTAGGATAAGATGAGACCAGACATGCCTGTGTACCTCCTAACTACTGAGGATAGAAGCCAAGTGAAAGCTTTCTGTGATCAATTTGGTGCTTGAGTACCTGTGAGTGATATCACTTCTTCCCTGAATTATTCCCAAATAAATCTGTTTTCAGTGTAAGATAGCCACAAGCTCCTCATAGAAGACTGCATGTTTTCTAGGCATCTACAGAAAGCCTTGAAAAGAGAAACCAACCAAGGCCGATTTTTAGCAATTATCTTTCTGCTGTCTGTGAATACACACACAAAGGATCAATCTTTCCTCTTCAACTTGGTATAAAATTAGAAACATGCTTTTGTTAATGGACTTTGTAGCCCAGTCCCCTTGAAATAACACTGTAAAATCTGTTATCTATTGAGATGCATTGCTTTTCTATGATAGTTATTTGGATTTTCATAAAATTTTTTCAAGATTTGTTTGTTAGCCTGTGATATCCAGCTATTAAAACTCACCAGTGGAATATAGCACTTTTCAGGCACTAGAAACACTTCTAATAAAAAGATTAAAATATTCTCCAAAGCCATGGTCATTTTGCTTTTCCTCGCTTAGCCAGAGGAATAGAACTGTCATTGACTTTCTTTGCTTCTGCACTCAGCTACGTCCTGACTGTTTTCTCACAGCTGTTGACTCTTCCATCTTTCCAGAGCATCAGAGGCAGGAATGATGTCGAGAGACCTGTCAGTGTAGTCTTTTCTTTGTGGTGGGAACATTGGCCCACAGATGCTGTCTGAGCCCTGCACAGGGGACTGCAGGACGGCATTGCCAGGTGCCGGGTGTGTGGTGCTTTCCAGGCAGGCACCACCCTTTTGGCATCTCATGGGATTTACAGTTTCGGTGGCGGAGACAGATGCCTAAACATGTTATTACAATGTGGTATGACAAGTTCTTGCGTTAGGGGAATTTCAAGGAATGATAGAGCATGTAGAAGGGACACCAAATGGAGTGTAACAATATTTCCTTTCCTTCCCACAGGCTTTTAATATTTTTTATCCCATAAAAAATGCATTTACAAATGATTGCATTTATTTATTCAGTCAATAAGTATTTGTTGAGCACTGGGACTATATCAGTAGGAAAAAGCACCCCCAAGGAGCTTACCTTTTGGTGGGGGAAATACTAGTTTTGACTCTATCATCTATCTATCTAGATAGTGAGAGAGGAACAACTAAAAATACAAAATACAGAATAAAAGTATGTCGGTATATGATAATGTGTTAGAAAAGGGTAAATGCTCTGATGAAAACTAAAATAATAAAGGTGATTGAGAATTAGGAGGGGGTGCAGTTTTAAATTAGTTTTCAAGTAGGTGTCATTAGAAGGTATCCTTAAAATAAAGGCCTACAGGAGATGAGGGAGTGAATCGTGAAAGTATCTAGGGTATGATTAGCCCAGGCACAGGCGATGGCAAATGCTAGACCCTGAGGAAGGAGGGCCTGGCAGGTGTGATGGGCTGCAGAGAAGCCCAGGTGGCTGGAGCGCAGTCAGATGACGGTGGCAGGAAATGGGGGCAGAAAGAAGGTGCATATGTGTTGGGGTGAGGGGGTGCTTTCCTGGGAGGTCATTGTAAACTTGGGTTTTACTGGAAGTGAGGTGCTTCTCTGGATGGGGTCTTCTGTCAACCCCACACCCCTTCTGTACCTTCCTCTACCGCTGGGGCAGGAGACTTGCAAACTGCATTTCCCAGACTCCCTTGCCTGCTGACTTCCTGTTAGTTTCTGCCACTGAAAGGTACTGGCAGAATCAGAAGAGTCTTCATTCCACCCCCCTCCTCCACACACACACACACACACACACACACACACACTCCCAATGAGAATGCTGGAAGCCTTGCCCACGTGGCAGCTGCATGAGCGGCAGCAGCAGCTGGGAATGTTGGCTCAGGCAGCTTGGTTCCAACAGTGGTCATCACAGAGGCTCTGACTGCAGATTCATGTCAGTATTTTCCCTTTGGTTCCTCCAACCTAAGTGGGGGAGTGGCTTCCTGCTGTTACTAATGTTTGTAATCAACTCCCTATAATAAATACTCCCTCTCTTTGAAATATTGGTTTCCCGATTGGATGCCAACTGATACAAATGCTTTGAGCAGAGGAGGGTCAGGATATGATCTACATTTTAACAAGCCTTTCTGGCTGCTGTGGTGAGGGAAGACACTATGGTACAAAAGTGGAGGTGGGAGCCCAGCAAGGATCCTGGTGAAGGCTTAGGGTGGCCCGGGCCAGTGTGGTTTCAGTGGGAGTAGTAAAAGTGGTCAGATTGTGGATATATTTTCAAGGTAGAGCCATAGGGTCTGCCTACTGCCCTTTGTACCCAGAAATATTGCTTCTGACCTACTGTATGCAAAACATATCTGAGGTCTTTGCATATTAATGGAGATAATGTTTGCACTGAAATATCCACTTCCTGATTGTGATCTTAAAAACATTGTCAGTAGCCGAAACTGATTTGGCTCAGTGGTAGAGTGTCGGTCTGTGGACTGAAAGGTCCCGGGTTTGATTCCAGTCAAGGGCATGTACCTTGGTTGCTGGTACATCTCAGGTAGGGGGTATGCAAGAGGCAGCTGGTCGATGTTTCTCTCATTGACATTTCTAGCTCTCTACTCTCTCCCTTCCTCTCTGTAAAAAATCAATAAAGTATATTTAAAAACAAAAACAGAAACAAAACATTGTCAGTGGTTTGGGCAGGATCGGGATACATTTAGGGCGAGATTGGCCCACTGGTACTTGTAAGACTAAGAATTCCTTCAGAGCTAGCAACAAATATGAAGGTTAAATAACATAGTGTTGCTGTGCTTAAAATAATGCTATATCCTTTGAAAACTCAAAAGTATTTTTAAATGAATACATGTTTTCAAAAGACACCTAATCACTTATTCATTGAGCAAATTTTCTCTGGATGTCTACTATGTTCCAGGCATTTGTGCAGGGTCTTCTGATACAGAGATGGAAACACACTTAGTAGTTATCATTAATGAGACTATACTCTTGGGCCTCTAGTCAGCATAATATGAATTTGACCTTACAACCCAGGGAGGTCACTGTTGCTCCCCTCTGCCGCTTACTCCAGTGACAAGCAGTGCCTCTGCTTGGCCAGGTGGGCTGGGCCAGCGGTCAGTCAAGGCTCTATTGCATAATTAGCTTATTTATTTAAAAAATATATATATATATTTTATTGATTTTTACAGAGAGGAAGAGAGAGGGATAGTGTTAGAGACATCAATGAGAATCATCGATCAGCTGCCTCTTGCACACCCCTTACTGGAGATGTGCCCGCAACCAAGGCACATGCCCTTGACCGGAATCAAACCTGGGACCTTTAAGTCCACAGGCCGACGCTCTATCCACTAAGCCAAACCAGTTTTGGTGTATAATTAGCTTATTTATTTGTTTTAACAAGTATGTAGCCGCTGCAATGTGTGCAGGACACTGTTCTATGCACTTGACACTAACTCCTTCAATCATCTTAACAGTCGAATTAATTCAGTGTATTGATCATCTCTCAGTCCCAAGGGTGCATTGTTCCATTCCACCTCACACACTCCAAACTGTAAACATGCAGGCCCTTCCTGGGGTCCTTGAAAACATCTGGCCTTCCCAGGCCTTAGTGAAAGCAACAAACTGTGCAGGACCTGGGGGAGATGCTTAGGTGGCTCATATTATTGTATATGATAGTAATGAGACAACTTAGCAAGAATTCTTTTGCTGACTGTGCTGGCCACTTAGAACCGTGCTGCTGGTATCTGTTTTCTTTCCTACCTTTCTATCCCAGTTTACCCTCTGTTCTTACTCTGGTGGAACTCTACTTCTGCCTGGGCTCAGCCTCAAGGCCTCTCTACTCCTTTACACACTGAAAATCTGTGGGGCTAAAGGTTTCCTTTCTTAGACCCCACCTTTGTGGAAGACACTGTGGTTTGAAATGGCTGTATCTTCCTCTCCTGCCTATCTAGGGGTAAGGAGGACAGAGTTCATACACCTTTGCTCTTAGAACAACTCTACTTTTTTTTTTCTTCCTGTTTTTATTTTGGCTTCCAGGTAAGATCCCTTTTGAAGAGGGAGCTGCACATTCAGTTTTTGAAATCCACATCAAGCATTATCTTTATTACCCATAATTTCCCTTTCCGAGTTAAATGGACCAAAGCTATCAATTAAGCTTAAGTTTGGAGGAAAGACGATGTTGCCCTTGCTCTAAGTCTTGCACAGATGTGAATTGCTCTGTTAATATATTCATGGAGATGCATGCCAGTGACATTTATAAGAAACTTCTGTGGTTCACTAGAGCTTACTCTGAGTGGATTTTATGATAAATTTGAAAGAAATGTTCGCAGTTGTTTTTATCACCTGTCCTCATTAGTTGGATCTCCTCATTTTCTAATTAAACACAGTAATTATAGAGAGTTCTACATCCATGCAATTATGTGAGAGAGGAATATAATTACTGCCTGTGTTAAAGAACATGTAAAACCCAGAGAAGAAAAGACCAGGAAGAAAAGACCTGGACCCATAATACATTAGAACTTCCTCATTGCTTGGGGGTAAGGGTCTGGGGGAAGGAGGTAGGAATGGGGTGGTTAAATCAGGCTTTTATAAAACTAGAGTCATTGTTTATCTTTTTTAACACTATGAGATTCCACTTTGTACAGTCTCCTTAGAGCCTTGGTTGGCAAACTGCGGCTCTTGAGCCACATGCGTCTCTTTGGTCCTTTGAGTGTGACTCTTCCACAAAATACCACGGCCTAGGTGAGTCTATTTTGAAGAAGTGGCATTAGAAGAAGTTTAAGTTTAAAAATTTTGGCTCTCAAAAGAAATGTCAATCATTGTATTGTTGATATTTGGCTCTGTTGACTAATGAGTTTGCCGACCACTGCCTTAGTGTCACTTTTAGCTAACTCCTATGTACTTCCCCTATTAATGATTATTTCTCTGAAGATTGGGGTCATAAATTCGCACCATTTATGAATGGCTTATAGATTACTCTCCATGTTTGTTTTTTAAGTTCAAAATGTTATATTTTTGAAGGCCTCCAGTGAGCCAGGCCACGTGCAAGACACAAGGAGCCAGAAGATGAAACAAACATCCTACCTTCTCTCAGGGACATGATAGTCTCACAGGAAACCAGAGATTTATATGAATATTTATAAAATTAAATGGTAGGTGCCATAGAGGAGAAGGGAGTGGTTAAATCTCCATTAATTGTTGGTCTCCATTCAGTTATGAGCTCCTTAAGGGCAGGAAGTGTGCCTAGTCTGTGATTGTATCCCCAGAATCTACCACAGTGCCCAGTGCGTAGGTGTTGGAATATTTGACTCAAATATTTGGTGATTTGATATTTGCAGAGATGTAACATTTGTTGGCACACACAGAGCCCTCAGTGTATTATTGTCTTATGGGCTAGGGTCTTGGGGAAAGTTCCCAGGTAGACAGCTTCTAAATGGTTCTCAGTGACGCTCACCTCCTGGAATTCGCTCCTTGTGCCATCGCCTTCATGTGAACTGGACTTAGGGACGTGCTTCTAACAA